TCTCACATGAAACATATGGAGAACAGTTGATTATGAAGGCTGAGAGGTTGAACTGTCTCTAGAGAAAAACAGGAAGTAAAAGGAGATTGAAGCTTGAGCAATGAAAATTGTCGTCATACACCAAGGGAGAAAAAGAAATGAAGAGCGAGTGTGCAGTGAGTCAGAAAGATTCAGTGAGTTGTAATGTTAGAGCCCATGAACTGGAAACTAGATATGAATTCATTACCTCCAAGGGTGTAAATGACAAGAAGTCAGTCAACAGAGTCAGAGTTATTTCGGGAGACTGCAGGAAGGTTATTATGGACCAGGAGCCAAAACAGATTGAATTCTAGTCATCTAATTAAAGATGTACACAAACAGAAGACAGTTTGATGGAGGGTGATCACAATCATTGAAAGCTGAGACTGAAATATGACAAAACTTCAAAGAGTTAATAGTATGTGCTGCTGGTATAAGACGGATATTGTTGCTGATTGCCTTCAAGTCAAGCACGACTCATAGCGACCCTCTGAACAAAAGGCCTGAAGCCCCTCGACAACTATCGGCATTTATCAAAGTTCATAGAGTTTCCAGAGGCATGTTATTTAGGAAGTGGATGCCACTCCTGGAAATACCATTTAAAAAATATATTGGTTTGCATACAATTCATTTATATTGTGATTCCTGTTCGTTGTTGGGGTTATTTTGCCCCCTCCCTCCACCCACCAAGCCGTGACCTCATGATTTCTGTTTTCTCCACCCTTAGCACCCCTCCCCTCTCCCGTTATCACGGCTCCCCCCTCCCTTCCCCTCTTTGGATAACATCTTACTCATTATCCTTTTGTTTCTACTGCAATCCTCTTTGTTCTTATGTGCCTGAGTTAGTTCACTCAGCATACTAATAATGTTCTCTAGCCTCTCTGGTGTTTTATAGTGTTTTTCAAAATTATTGCTCCTGAGTGCTGTATAGTATTCCATCATGTGAACATAGCACAATTTCTCAATCCAGTCTTTTTTTGATGGACATTTGGGCTGTTTCCATGTTCTTGCTGTTGTGAATAACACTGTTATGAATATGGGTGTACGAATCTGTGTCTCAGTTCTGTTTTCCTTGGGAGGTATTCCTAGCAGTGGACTATCTGGGTCAGGATATGCAATTTTAAAGGCTTTTAGGGGAGCTCTGGTGGTTTAGTGGGAAGAAGTTCCACTCCCAACCCAAGGGCACATGGTTTGAATCCAATAGCTGCTTCAAGGGAATAAAATGGACAATTTCCTCCTGTGGGATTCATAGCCTCTGAAAACCTCCTGGAAAGACAACTGTGGGTTGTTTCTGGCTTGAAGGCATACACAAAACCAACAACTACGTTTGGTAATTGGTGAGAAATTACTCATCAGAATCCAACCATTGGTGTATGGATCTAAGACGGAAACTGGCCTAGGCTTAAGAGTTACCCCGACTGAGCATTGTGTCCATTCTCTTCCTCCTATTGCTTTGCTCTGATGATTAGACTGGAAGCAACATTAGACAGTATCTGCTGAGGAATGACTACGATATTTTGGCTCTTTTTCTGACTCTAACTTCCATGAATTTTGGAATGCCATGCAAACACTTCAGCGAGGATTTTGGCAAAATATTTACAATCCCTTCAATAACGTTGCTCAGGAAAGAGGAGAAACGGAGAGCAGTCACTTAGGAAGTGCAGGAAGGAGGAGAAACAATTGCTTACTGTGCTATTCCCAATGGGGGGAAAGTCCAAGCTGGCTGTTACAGAGCCTGCTGGGAGTGAAAGCTGCACACATCAGAGTAACACGCCGCTTCTCCCGCCCCAGGACTGGGGCCTGTGCTGGGCTGTGTCCATGATAAAGAGGGGCGGCTACCACAGCAGCGGGCGTGTGATCACCAGCTTGGGGGACTCAAACACTTCTGGGGCTACAGAGGAATCTGGCACAGGCCCCTGGCATCGTTAGTTACAGGTCTGCCAAGATGCTTTGGGAAACATTTTCATTTAAATGCCAAGTCTATGTCACTGACGTCTCCCTGGTTTGACCTATTGGCAGTCCAGGGTGAGATGGATAGGTGGCCATTTTGGAGGACATCCAAGGATGAAGAGGGGACAGTATAAAAAGATCTGGAGGCTTAAACCCCACTCTGCCCCTCTCAACCCTGAGATCCTTACAGATTAAGCAGTTCTCCTGGCATTTTTTTTTGGGACTGATGGATGTTGTTACTACTGTGGTTGGGTGCCATCCAGTCACCGTGACTCACAGCGACCCTGTGAACAACGCTCTGAAGCCTGTCCTATCCTGAACCCTCTGAAGTGCTGTACTCATTGATACAGTCAAGGTGCCAATCCATCTCGTTGAGACTTTTCCTGTTTCCATAAACCTCCACTTTCCCCAGCTTGAAGTCTTTTTTCAACGACTGACCCCTTCGGACAATACGCCCAAAATATGTGAGATGACATTTCCCTATCCAATCTCTGGCGGCCTAGTGGTAAGGAACGCCACTGCCAACCCAAAGGCACACAGTTTGAAGCCACCAGCTGCTGTGTAGGAACAAGAAAGGTCATCTCCTCTCTTGTGATGACCTCCCCTCTGAAAACCTGCTGGAGGGTCAGCTATGTGTGGGTTCCGATTGGATGGTACACAACAACACGTAAGCCTCTGGGGGCTCCGTGGGAGAAAGACGTACAAAATTCCTCCATGTGATTTACTGCTGCTGACCACCTTCTGGGGCTTCAGCCAAGAGTTGTCCAAATCTCAACAATAACTGCCGCTAAGGAGTACTTCTGTGAAGACAAACGTGTTTGTGCTTCTGACAGTCCGTGGGACATTCATGACCTCTCAACATTGCAAGTCAAAGCATCCAAGGCAAAGTCATCCGTTCTGCCTCTGAATTGCGTGGAAACGGTCAGCAGAGGGAGAACAAGCTGATGATAGCAGAGAATGGACAAGACTCCTTGAAGCACTTTCGCAGAACATCAAAGTTGGAGCACTTTAAGGGTAAAGCCCTCCAGCATTCTCCCCCAGCTATCATGATTAGAAATTCAATAAAGTAGATTAAAAGACTCATTTCAACTATTAGATTCCCTCCCTACACCCCCTCCTTGGAAACTATATCACAAGACAGAAACACTTATTTTGAAACAAAATTAAAAGAAAAGCAACAAAGGGGGTAGGGGTTAAATATGAAAACATTGTCCATGGATGTGAAATATTCCCACTGGTGTGTTTACCCAGATTGGCACGAGGTTGGCTCAAAGCTGTGCGATGGTTACAAGAACACAAATAGAGGATCAGAAGCATTAAATGCCCCAAGACTAACTGGAAGGAGTTTGATGCCTTCAGGACCAGGGCTGCTATGCATATGCTTGGAAAGCGGGTTTTCTCAGAGGCTACTTGGTCGTTTGCTACATCATGCTAATGAAAACATGATCTTCAGCTTCACCCCTGAGCTGGTCAGCTCTTCCTTGGGGTCTTTGCCAGGAGTACATTCTTGGAAAAGGAAACACACAAATTGGATCAGAGATATTGGGCAGGGGGTGGGGGTGGAGTCCGGGGGGGGGCGGGCCTGGGGTAGGAGTGGGTAGGACCATGGGTACCTGGCTAGAATGTGGGGCGCTGTCAGGTGTGTGGGAGGTCTTGGGCTGGGAGTTATAGGATCTGGTTGAGTGGTTCATTGCCTGGGGCATGCTGGGGTAGGGGCAGAGAATGGGCCATCACTTCAAGAGGCTGATGGGGTGTGGCCTAGGAGGCTGGACTTTGAGGGCCTCCAGGCTGCAGATCAGGAAAGGCGTGGGAGGGACAGGGGCACAGAATAAACTGTGCTGTGTAATTCTGCCCCTCATCGTCCACTCCCGCCCCAGTAGCCAGGCCACTTAGCTGGACTCTTTCACAGTTGGGGAGCCCAAGGGAATGAAAGGGCTGTAATATGTGAAATGGGCCTGGCCAGCCGGTGGAGCGCAAAAGGTGCATTTAGGGAGAGGAAACCAGGCCGCAGCGCTGGGAGTAAGGGGGGGCGCAGTGGCTGGGTCCCCAGCCTAGGATCTGCCCTCCACCCCAGGCCTGGCCTGGCCTTGCGCCACTGGGTGGCTGGCAGTTGCACTCAGGAAGAGTGTTCAGAACCCTCGGCCAGCAGGTCTCCTTGGGCTGATGACCCGGCTAGAGGCGAGGGGGACGGGCGGTAGGGGGCAGCGCCGAACCGGGGGACTGGAGGCCCCGGAGGAGTCGCCAGCTGCCCACTTCCTCGGGCCTCTGGGGCGAAGGGCCCGGCTCACAGCCGCGTGACCCTCGGGAGGCGCCTCCGCGTGTCCAGAGGGCGACTAAGGGCCCGCTGCTCCAGCTCGGCCCTGCACCCCGGAGAGGGTGCCCCAAGTTCGGGAAGGGCGCCCCGTTCCCCCGTGGTGGGTGCTCCGGCACCAGGCTGTGCACCCCGCTGCCCTGAGCGGCCTCCCTTCTCCCGGCGTGCGCCCTTGTCCCCTGATCAGAACCCCTCTTCCCAAGGGTGGATCCCCTCTCCTGCCTGGGTGGATGCCCTTCTCCCGGCGGAGCCCCTCTCCTCCCCAGGGGGACCCCCTCTCCCAGGTGGGTGCCCCTCTCCCGGGCAGACCCACTCTCCTCCCCGAGTGGGCCCTCTCTCTCCCAGGGCGGTACCCCTCTCCTCTCCTAGAAGGCTCTCTCTCCCCCAGAGTGGACCTCCTGTCCCGGGTGGGCACTCCGCTCCGCAGCCGGAGCCCCTCTCCTTCCCGGCCGGGCCCCCTTCTCCCCGGTTGGACCCCCTCTCCCGGGTAGGCGCCCGGCCCGCGCGGTTATTTTTGGCGCCCGCGGCGGCGCGTGTTCGGGGCGTGTTCTCGGAGCCGGTGCAGCCGCGCGGACGGGCCTGCGGTCCCCGGCGGGCTCCCCCGACTCTCCCGCTGCCACCACGTCCCCCGCGGCGCGCGGCTCCGGCGGCGAAATCGGAGAAAAGAAAGCGGAAGGAGAGGCGGCGGGAGGCGGCGCGGAGGAGGGGCCGGCGAGCGGGGACGCGGGGACGCGGCTTTGTGCTGGCGGGTCGCGGGGCGCCCATGGCGGAGTGCGGCCGGGGGGGCGCCGGCGGGGCCCTGCCCACCTCCCCGGGCCCGGGCCTCGGCGCCAGGGGCGCCCTCAAAGCCAGCGCCGGGGAGGGCGCCGACCCCGGGGGCGGTCGCCTGGGCCACGGGCGGGCGCGCTGTGACAGCGGCGGGGTTTCCAATGGAGACTGCAGCCTCGGCGTGTCGGGGGACGAAGCCCGGGCCAGCCCCGCCAGGGGACCCCTGGGCGCCACGCTCGGGCCCCGAGACAGCAAGCCCGGAGGCCTGCCGCGCCGGAGCAGCATCATCAAGGTAGGTGGGGGTGCGCACGGCCCCCCGGGCGCCCTGGGCTCTGGCTGCGGCCGGGAGGGCTGTGGGGGCCCAGTGCGCACCGGAGCCGTGGCGCGCGGGCGCTCGGGGCGCTGGAGCTCGGACTGGATGCAGATGGCATTTGGGAAGAATGGAGAGGTTCTCTCCATGGCGCCGGGCGAGCTGTGCGCGGGCATCCCCGGTGAACTTGGGGCTGTCACCTCGTGCAAGGCTGGCCTGCAGTGGGGCCTGGACCTCGCCGGCAGGGCGCACGTCTCTGATGGGTGTTGGGGACTGACTTCCCTGTTAGATTTCCTGTTGTGTTTTAAGGACGGTGGAGAATTAAGTGGCGACATTTTCTGTACAAAATTTCAGGAGGTGAGCAGAAAAGATCGCATGTGTTTCTTGTGCGCTATGGATGTCATTGCCCCTGTGGACGGCTGCACGGGGAGGGAACACAGCCCACGGGCACGCAGGCTTGTGGAGCAGAGAGGTGCCTTTCTGGAAGGAGTGCCTGATTTGTGCTCGCTCAGGCTCCGAAACCCCAGAGAGGAGGCTTGTCCCAGCCCTGCTACCCTGCAGCACGCAGGCCTCTGTGGGTCCTTCACAGAAGTTCCTTCCCACCTGGTCATTTAGCAGAGGAAAGCTGCACTTGAACCCCGAGAAATGGCATTGGGGACGCCTCCGTTTGCTGGGTGCTTTCACTGGAAATGCTGCGTCTGGGCCCTCGCTCTTGGGTGCTGAGCTATGTCTCATGTCTCCGGTTGGCAAAGCAGTGGGTGAGCTCGCAGGAGCAGGGGGAGCCCAGCTCGTTCTGCTCAAGTTTGGAGCAAAAGTGAAAATGTTGCTCTCCGAGAAGCAAGGGTTTACCCGGACTGTGAGCCGCAGAACACACCAGCAGCGCCTGCACCCTACTTCCTGTGGCTGATAACCCCAGGGAGAGAGGGCAGAGCGCCTGGGAGCACTGGGGCTGGTGGAGTTTCCAACTGAATTAGATCTCCAAGGAATTATCCACCGCCCTTAAAACAGGATTCTGTGCTGTTAGCTCCTGCTGTTTGTCACCTGGTGAAACACACCCCTTTGTTATCTACCCTCGGTTGTGAAATCTTTTTTCGATTTGTCATCAGTTTGAACAGTCCACTACCTCTGGGCAGGGGTGCACCTGAACCATCCAACTGTGCAGCACACGTGTGGAGCTGAACTCGGCAGAGGAACGTGTATTTTTGCTGCACACATTTTAGCATCTAGTGACATACAGTTGCTTTTGTGGTTTATGTTTTGTGGACGTTGCTTTCAGCTGGCGTTGATGGTCAGCACTGACAGCTGAGCTGTGTCTGTATTGTTTCTGTTTCTTAACAATCATGTATGGCGGCTTTGCACTGGGGAGTTAGATCAGTGAAATAGGAGGCAAGAATTCCAGAAATGATTCTAATCGTCCAGATTTTATCTTCCTCCCCTATTTTTTTTTCTTGAGGGCCTTTTATTATCAGTTTAAAAATTAAAAGTAAACTTTATTGATAATAACCTAATAGTTTAGTGACAGTGACAGTATCAGTTTTAGTTGCATTCGGGGGAGATTAGAAAGATGCTTTATCAATGTTTCCGATTGATCTTGGGGATTGAGAAGTGTCAATAGATAACATTTTTTCATTGAATCTTCCAAAAGAGCACAGGGACATGATTACTTGTTGAAATCATTGGTTTTGGAAAGGACATTGATAGTTTGATTGAATTCTGAAACTTTCAGTCATTTCCTCCCTTGTCCTCTTTCCAGCTAAGACAACTGACTTCCTGTTGACAGCAACCTCCCTAGATAGTTTTAAGAATGGAGTAGTTACTATTTCTTGACAAAATAAGAGAGGGAAAGACTTGGTGAGGGAGGCCAAGTTTTCTCTTTAAGTTTTAATTTTAAGATAACGGATTCCTTTTCTTGGCTTTCTTTTAATGCTCCCATTTTTCTTAAGCACCTTCAGAAAGTTGAAAATAAAGTAAGCCCGGTGATGTGGTTCATTGGCAAGTGGAGATGCTGTGTTTAAATCCTAACAACCCGATACGTTTACCCTTCCATTGGTATCTCCACAGATCGAGACCTTAGGGATTTAATGTGGTATATTTTAGAGATACAGCAGCATCCAGACAGTATCTAAAATAGAACAAAGATATCTTTCACATTAACAGTGAATTTGGTGACATTCTTTATCCTGCATTTTTTTTTTTAAATAAAGCAAAATAAAACAGAAGGGAAAAGATGCCCTGGAAGGCTTGGGGCTGTTGTTAGGTACCATTGAGCCAACTCCAACTCATCGAGACACAATCTACAACTAACAGGATTTTCCTTTCCTTCCTCTGTGCTGTCCCCATAGTCTCTGCAACGCCCAGTGCTGCAACTCTGTCTGGTTGAAGGTCTTCCTCTCTTTCGCTGACCCTGTCCTTTCCCCAGCGTGATGTCCTCCTTTTCCAGGGACTGGACCCTCAGGAACACATGCCCAGATTATGTGAGCTGAAATGTCACCATCCTTGCTCCTAAAGTATCTTGGCTGCACTGTTTCGGAGACCAATTTATTTATTCTCTTGGCAATCCATGTGACAGTGGCTGTGCTTTGCCAAGGCCACAGTTCAAAGGCTACAAGTCTTTGGTCTTAGTCTTTGTCCAGCTTTCACATGCAGGTGCAGCAGTGAGAAAGACCACGGCTTGGGACAGAAAGCTTAGCAGAAGTTAGTGTTACTGGAAAGGAAAGACCGTGACATCTTTTGGTTTCTTAGTGTTCTTTCTTTAAATGTTAAGAGGTGAGTGCAGTCAGGTGGTCTGAGAGTGGAGATGGGAGCAGAGCAAGAACTGCGTTTATTTCTTAGGGCCACCTTGACTCATTTCCAGAGTTAATGGGTTAAAACAACAGAACTATATTCTCTCCCAGTTCTTGGAACTTGAAGCTGGAATCACGTTGTGGAGCAGGCAGGACTGTGACCTCTTTCTCCTCTGAGAGCTCTAATTATGTGTGCTGTCGGGTCAACTCCGACTCAAAGTGACCCTACAGACAGCGGCCCTGAACCCTGCCCTGGCCTGAGCCAGCCTCTCTGACTGCCACACACCTAATCCCATGGCCCCGGTTCCCATGTCAGTCCGCCACATCCAGGGTCTTTCTCTGCTGCGCTGTCCTTCCAACCTTCTGAGCATGATGTCCTCCTCCAAGGACTGGTCCTTTCTAGCAACATGCCCAAAGTATGTGAGATGGAGCTTCAGAATCCTTGCCTTCAAGGAGCAGCCTGGTGTGTTCTTTGCCTCTTCTTAGCTTCTTATGGTTCCTGGGACACTGAGGGATTCCTTGGCCTGTAGATGCGTCACCCTGCTGTTCCATGTGATATGTCCTGTAGTTTGTGTCCAGGTGTCTCGTAAGGACACCGGCCATTGGGTTAAGACGCTCCCCAACACAGTCACAGAGCTCTGGACGCGGGGTGGGAAGGAGTTGTGCTGCCTGTTCCAATCGACCAGCTGCTGCACGAAAGGCCGGGCAGTCTCCTGGCGTGAAGCTTCCTGCCTCTGACAACTTCCTGGAGGGTCAGCTATAAGGTGGCTCCATCTGGAAGGTGCATAACAGCAACAGCTAGCGTGGTATGACTCAGCTTTCTTTCCTCAGAGACAATCACGAAGACCTTATTTTTAGATGAGGTCACAGCCCCAGGTTTTGAGTCCCCATGAACCGAGGGCGAGTGTGCTCACCCACTCAGTAAACACGGCGATGGACGGGCCAGGATGTGGGGGTGACAGCACGCAGCTCACTTAGTAGGGACCAGAGACCTGTGTTTCTGGGGTGAGGTTAGTGAAGGAGCTGGGCCCCCGAGCCGAGCCTGCTCTCTGTCCTCCGTCTTCACGGCCTTCCTGCCTGGCCTTCCTCCAGTTGGAGATTCAGTAGCCGGAGGAATGGTCTCAGGGTGCGGACAGTGAGCCCAGGAAGGGGTTTCCTGCCAACGTGCAAGTCCTGGGGTAGAACTACAGCGTCGCTTGTCCAGAACTGTGTCTCTCATTTCAGCTTTTTCTTGGGTATGCTATCTATTTTGTGAATAGGGTTTTGCATGAGAAGTTGTTATAAAACTACATATTCTACTCAAACTGATGCTGCCGGAGCTCTGTGATTACAATTGTAAGACAATTAGGTGAGTGAGTGGTGTCACGGAGCCTTCGTAGACGTCTTGAGGAGAAGAATGCCAGATAGAACTCACCCTGCACTCGAGTTCTCTCTGTCTCCTCTGCTTATCAAGAATGATGTGCATTTTAAATTACTCAGAAAGGCTTGTTGCTGGCCTTATGGGGAAGATGCTATTATTGTACCTGTCAGTTTAACTAATCTGGTAAAGAAGACATCACTTTAATTTTCTGCTCATTCATTTCATCACAGTGTTCAATCTTACCTAATTTTGAGACAGATAATTTGCTTAAAGCCCCCCTCCCACTTTACTTTTTTTTTTTTTTTACAAATAACTTGGTCTTTAAATTCAAGTGCTCGGCCTTGAATGTGGAGTAATATATTAGGGCTCAGCGTTCTCTTTAATTTCAGAAATAAGTGAAGTGTGGATATTTTATCTGATTCAGAATTCACTGACTACTTTGCTTGGTGCTTTTAAATCGGGTCATTTCTGTGAAGGGAATTTCACTCTTGTTGGTTTTGTGGTCTGTGAGTTTTGACAGGAGCACCTGTCCGGTTGTGTAACCGCCACCACAGTTGAGGTACAAAAAGGTCCTGTCCCCTCAGAACACTGTCCTGGCCCCTTTCCAATCCCCCTCTATCCTGCTTTCAGACCCCACAAGTGTTGACCATGCTGGTTTACTAAGAAGTAGCAATTTACAGCAATCGAGTTATTTTGGCATTTGGTGACAAGCACCGTATTTTACACATTTACTGGGCACGGAAGCAGATGGAGAGAAGCTTAGTGCAGTTACCTGCCCGACATAATGGCACGTGTTTGGCGCGGCACGAGGAACTAGGGTTCAGGGAGTTGAATCTTTA